GGCCTCACTTTATTCAATTGCAACTCTGGCTCTCTTTATGGTTTCACATTTCCTTTCGTGCACGTGATAGGGAGAGATCGTATTGGTTCTGCACGTGCTCTAGGATTCGCTTGGATGCCGATAAGCACTGCATAAATCTGCCATAAAGATCATCTGTGAACACGAGGAACGATTGCGCGGCTTCGTATCGATCTTGATGAAAATCACGCGCGGCAGGTTAAATTTACAGTGTATATATAAATTTTTCAAGAATAACCATCGGTTTTGTAATATTCCCAGGATATACCGTCGGAAATATAATATCACAGATCAAGATTTTGTATCTCAGTAATCTCGTAATCCAATCGCATTGACGATTTCTCACGAGAACGCGAAAATACATACATATTATGTTCCTGCTCACGGATGAGCTTATTAGACTTTGAATAACATCAACTTTATATCGATTCACGAGAATGCGAAGCGATCTCAAAAGTTATCATGGTAAGAATAACATTTCTAAAAAATCTCTGATTGCTCATACAGTTATCTCAACTTTCATCATCCTTATTTGCCTTCCAACGAAAATTATTCAGCGCTCACTAACTCATAATCTCTATTGTCGCGATTTACATTCAACCATCGATGCGGTTTGCTTCTTTGTCGAATTTTATATGACTCTCATTTATTGTCGAATGCACTATTTGCAAAGTTTGTGAAAGAGTGATTTATACATTCAGATTGGCGAAAAGAGATCAAAATATGTTTGATCAAAATATGAAACATTCTCATGCGCTTAATCTTTTCTTTTATTTAGCAATATTTTGGATATGGAAAAAAAGAGTCAATTTTTTGATAGAATTTATTTTCCGACTATATATATATACTGAAAGAAAAATAAAGTACAGAGGAAGCTGCCTATTATGAAATAGGCGCTTAATATGAGATAATGGCGTTTCCACTAAACTAATAAACGCTATCTATTAGTTCCACCATGAATTTATTGTTCTTAGATTGAAAATTATTTTGTGGAAAATTTATTATTATATCGTGCTTGTAGTCGTTGCGAGAAAAGATTTTAGAATTTGGATGTCTTCAAGTTTCGTTGAGATGAGCTTTTACCTTATTTATTATTTAATAAGTAAATATTTGGCAATAAATTCTTCATGTGGTAATAGAGTAAGATCGTATTAATAAAAAAATACGTTGAATTGCTTAATTAGAACAGAAGTTAGATTTGATGATCGTAAAACCGTAAGGCGTGAAAATCGTAATATGAGATATTCAGCGTATTTTTAATATGAAGTAACCTATGTTCCTATATTATAGTGAAAATCGTTGCTGAAGTATAAATGTTATTGTACAATAATAAAAAGGACAATCGAAATAAATATCGAGTGGCTATTTTTGCGATGATTGGTTCCAACTACCTGAAGACGAATCAACTAGGTACAATGCATCGCATACTCATTTTGCACATGCAGTGGCTGTGTTTATTTGTATTTTAGAAACATTAAATAAAGTTTTTTAATTGCAATACTGATGTACTTTGCGTTTTATTATCGATTTCTCGGAACATCTTATGTTAGGAGCATCATTTTTTGACTTAGCGATTTGCTCACTTTTTACATTTCTTTGATTTATAAAAAAAAAAAATAAAATTTGAATTAAATATTACCTAACATTAATCCTAAAAAGCTTATTAAATTCCCTTAAAAATGATCTATTATTTTTTTCAATTCTACCTATAGATTTCTAGCATTTAATAAACTCGGTATCTCATAATAGGGGCCTTTTCTCTAGTGTTGAGATATACATGATAAAATTACGCTGTAGGATATAGGAAATGAATTTTCCAGAAAGTCGGATTATTTATTGCTTGGACCGAAGCCGGATGTTTTGCAAATAGCGATTAAAGGCTTTTGAGGGAAATGCATTTAGATGCAAAAACGTGTACACACAAGACTAGGGAATTGGAGCGTGACGCGGACATACAATATATAGAGAGGATTTAAAGAGCGAATCGTCCTCTCGTTACATATTGAGATCCATAAAGTTGGTAGGATTTAAATCAACAGTGTCGACGATAGCTTGGCTCGAAACGGCATATTCCAAATTTATCTCAGATGAACGTAGAAACTAAAACTAAAACGTTTATTCTCAAAGTAATTTATAGCTTCTCGTTTTAGCTTTATAAACAGCTCATTACCTAACTGCTCTTATTTTTGTAAGACAATCACGTGTATACGTCTTCTACACACACACACACACACACACACACACACACACACACACACACACATTTTACTAACTATAAAAAGTAACCCGAATAATCATTTAGGACAGGCCTGTCCAATTTGAGCTCCGGAGTCAAAATGCAAAGCCGTCGACGTAAAAAAATTCAATGTGAGATTTCGGGGATTGTAAAGTGTTCGGTACGCATCTGAGTAACACTTATCAATACCTTACAGTCCTTGAAATCTTACATTGTATTTTTTTCGATGGCTTTGCGTTTTTGGCTCCGGAGCTTAAATTGGACAAGCCTGATTTAGGAGGATAGGGAGGGCTCTTGAATAAACAGAATAATTTATACGTCTGTATATTTGCGATTACAACGATTTCTGCTTCCACGACCCTCAGTTTTTGCAAGCCCTACTTTTTTATATTAGATACAATGGCCTCGATAGCAAGATTTGTAACGATTCTAGGTCGCAGATATCCTCTTGTGGTACGCTTAATTAAGAAATACTGTAAAGGTATTAGGCCGTCGCGCCGGAACCACCGAATTCAAATGGATGGTTTCCGCGACTAGGGTCGTTAGAGCGTTATCACGCACCGTTAACAACCTCGATTAGCGATTGTATCGTCCCTCGAAGTTTCAGCGCACGTTCTTATGGGAATGCGTTGCAAGTAATTTACGATAAGTAGGCGGTGTGTTTGCGCACGTACGCCTCGTGGACGTCTTTTAATGGCGGTAAATTACACGATGGTAAATATTTGTCGGAGAACTCAGCGGTGGCGGTAACAGCGCCATACGTTTCTCCAGCGCATCAATATTGAACGATTAATTATTTATATTATGCACGTATCATATATAATTAATTAAGCAAATATTGGCACGAGATGCAATCGAAAATAATGCAACAATTATCGAATAATTATGCGAGATGGCGAAACTGTAAAGCCGCAGAAAGTTCTAATTGCAACCGTTTAGCGAAATGTAGTGAAAACGACCGTACAAATAACGCGTTGACTAGGTTGGCTTTTCTCTCTATATATATGTATATATATATATATATATATCTTACAAGGATAGTTTTGCTGAATGAACGTACAAAAGTGAGTACGACACGAGACATATTATTACTACAGATTCGGAACATATTTCTCCTTATATTCTGTACGCTTAATAAATAACGTTGTATTAAAGGGGCGAGCCTGGCTCTGCATAAATAGAACCTATGTCGCACGGCGACGTTTATCCCATTAACAATCGTGCGTGAGTCGCGACGCGGCCAATTTTGTCCGCGGGTCAGAAATAGAAGCTGTGCCGTCAGGATGCAACAGTTATATTAACTCGGATACAACGAGCAGCAGGTGCGGATGCCGTCGTCCGGTGGACGATACAACTTCATTACGACGATAAGATCGAAATAACTCTCGCGGGAATACCTATGTTTTCCTATTTGAGAGAAACGAGCGCGAATGTATTCAGATGAAATCGACGAAAAATGGGAAACGCGAATGTGCCGCGCTCGCGAGTGAATATAAATTTCGAAATCTCTCGGGAGAGGGGGGGAGGGGAGGAATACAGTCTAGTCGTGGTCTATCTGGGCCGATCTAACGACCTATGGGTGGCACATCGTTTTTGAATAAGTCCGACGTTAGAGGGACCGTAACGTAACGTCGCGGTCGTTCCGCGGAGATAAAGCAAGATCACAAGTTTCTGCATCCCCGGCGTCGCGGGGGTTCGCGAAGGGAAGAGAACACGAGGTGGATTGGTTAGCGCACGGAGATGTAGAAGAAAGAGAGAGGTCAGGAAAAGACAGAGGAGAGCGGGGAGTGAACAAGGGATAGATACGTAGGAAGAGTAGCTCTGTTCCAGAGTAAGAACCCCTTTCATTCCACGTCGGCCCCTCCTGATACCGTATAAAATATAGTATTGTTCGCGCTCTGTTAGCCCGGAGAGTGGAACGAGTATATTTAGAAAGGGGCTGCTTTCTTTCATATGTTAAGCAGATCAGTGTCGATGAGATAAAAAGAAGGAGAGGAAGAGGAGGAGTTGGCAAGAGCCCGTCGACTGTTCTTTCTTCTCGTTGACGTGGTAACGCTGGCTGGCCCGTGAATTTTACGCACTTTTAGATCAACGTGTGCAAATGTGACAATCAAATTGACTTGATACTCTTAAATAATTCAGAAGTTCTAAAAAAATGTGTGAAAAGATTTACCTTTTTTTTTTTTTACTGAAATTTTTAAGGACGAATCGCTTCTTAAATTTTTCGCAAAGCTTCGCGAAACACTCAAGAAGAATGAAATACTTTCTTCGCTCCAGAATTTGTTCGAAAGCGCAAGAAGTCACGTCAACGAAGACAATTGCAAAAGTTCCTTCCGTGAGCGCTTCATTCGCTAATATTAACATGCGGCTCCTCGCGCGAGTTGATCTTCGATGTTTCCGCGGTGCGGATTTCAGCGAATCCGCACTGGCCGATGGAAGGAAAATGTCGAGCGCGCGCGTTACGTGCCGTGTAATTCCGACGAGTTTACGGTAGAGATAAGTCAGAGTTGACTTTAGCCGGATTACCGGCGGGGTCGGCAGGGCGGTAGGACGGCACCTTACTCTATCCGGCCGTTATTATAAAAGTCGTAATGAAAATCTAACGATCCACTGAGCGCGCGGCGCGGTCGCGACTACGGCGATGCGACCGCGTAGCGGATTCGCCGCGTTTCCGCAGCACGGAAAATGAATTTCGCCGTTGCTACGACGTCGCACATTTAATCCCCTTATTTACTTTTGCTTTCAGAACACGTGCGGGAATTCAGCTGCGGCATGCTGTACTACAGGACGCTCTACCTGGACAGTAAGAGGGATGCCCTATACGTCGGAGCTATGTAAGTAGAACTTTTTTCCGAGCTTCGTAATAAAATGTCACGCCGTGAAAATCCCCGGGAAAAGTTGCGACGTTCCCTCGTCAAAGCTCGAGGACAGAGGTATTACGTCAGCGCGCCGAGCCCGTGTTACATACATATGTATGTACGTGCCACGCTGCAGATTTTTACGATTGCTGTGATTAAAATTCTACAACGTGTGCGCGAAGCGCGGGGGGGGGGGGGGGGATCGTGCCGTTTGATTGAATTTTCCGATGTCATCGAGTAATCGGATAATCTGAACTTTGAGGGATTACCCGTTACACGTGATATCAGCTTTCGGGATAATAATTATCGTTGCATAGATGATGGAATGACTCGCGGCGCCCCGCTTATTTACAGAGGATAAAGAGAGAGAGAGAGAGAGAGAGAGAGAGAGAGAGAGAGAGAGAGAATATTTAAAACATTTTTATTTTACGATATTCCACTGTTTTAATTCACGATTGTATGCATATTTTCTGTTTACTACTTTTGTTATTATTGTTCATGAAAACCGCGGGCTTATTTACTTGTCTGCCTTGCTTTATAGAAGATGATCAGAATCCTCTCGCTCTAAATGTTTCACTTTGCAGAAAGGCAATTTACTCGGAGCCTTTGAGCTGCGGAAGAAAACGGCAAGAAAAGCAAATATATAATACAAATCGAAACTGACGATCTCGGCAATTATGGTTGCCGAGGAAATGAAAAACGCCGTGTCAATAGAGATCAGAATTAATGAATTTGTTATTTCATCGTTTGAACGTAACAATCTTAGATATTGCACTCGAATATTGTGAATTTACGCGTATCACAAACAGTGGCTTAATGCTGCGCGAATCTATTAATATTTCCCAATTTCTATCTCGATTTAAATCTCTCCACGTATCTTATAGCCGTAATGAAAAGTTTCGCGAAAAGTTCCTCTCCGTTTCCTAGGTAGCAGTAATAATCCGTTAAATCGATCGTCTCTTCGCTGTTTGTACGAGTATTGAGTTACTATTTTCTCAATGTGACTCGACAGAGGCGAAAGCTAAAGGGTCGATCCTCTATACCCGGCAGAAATTGCGGGAGGGAAACGTCGCATCATTATCTCAGCGGAGTATTATTTCTTGATTCGGTCCCAGCCGCTTCTGACGATGCCACCCTCAGCGACCATTCCCCGTTAACATTCTCTCCCATTCTCCTTTCTCTTTTGTGTTTCCTCCCTCCCCTTAATTTAGTAAATGCCAGTAAAATGTTACGAAGCCTCGGTAACGGAGACGTAACGGGGATATAGTCTACCAATGCTCGCGGATACGAAGAAATCTCGAGACAGACAGGATGCTTGTTTAATTCCTTTGTGAGGCGGAACACAGATCGTCTTATGAAGTTCTCTTACAATTTGAACATGCGAATATGTTTTCGTCATGAATGAGACAAGACGCTCAATTGACTTCTCTGCTTCGGAATCATTACAACTGCTTGCAGTACGCAGATAGCAAAAATGGTTACAATTTCATCTCTCTTTGAGAGAACAAATAAATATGTGTACGTATATAAAATATAAGTGTTCTACATGCGTACATATATAAAAAAAATGTATAGAATATTTATCATAAAATTAATATTGATACTTGAAACACACAAAGTGTACCTTTTTTAAAAAGATTAAAAATGAAAAAAAAAAACAATTAATAACAATTAATTTAAACACAAAGAGAAATCAAATTAAATAATGCAAATCATATTTCTGTACGATGGAAAAATAAAGCATCACAATCGCATAAAAGCTTCCTCTTTTGAAATAACTCTGCCTCACTTTCTCTCTCTCTCTCTCTCTCTCTCTATGATGGGATGAGCTTGCCATATGGAGCGACAAAAGAAAAAGCGCAGTTACGATAAATTGCATTTCCCAAGGAAAGCGGCTACTCCGACTTCAACTGTTTCCTGGCTTCGTTCCACGTGCTTGCGTCGTCTTGTATATACATACGTATCTATCTACAAAACTACAATATCGAAGAGAATTCCGATAAGAGTCTAAAAGGAAATCGTTTTGCTATTCCTTCTTCAACGATAAGGGATGTTTTAAGCTTTATGATCTTCGTAGACATAATTTTTAAATGATTTTAAGACATTTGACATTTTATCGATCCACTCGCGCGACCTCACGTTTGATCAGGATTCTTTTCCCGTGTTCTTCGGCTGTATCTGTTCTTCGCGATATCGTTTTTCCTCCGTTATCGCACGCGACGATCGATACACGCGCGAGCATCGTTCCTCGTTAATTAGAAAGGTGATAGCCATTAATTGTAGTTTGAGAATCGGCACCCGCGTTGCGGTTCGCTCCGCAATTAAGGCACGCTAATTGAACGCTTCCAATTATCAGGCCAGAGGGGCCGCTGGCGAGAGCAGTACAAAAAAAAATGTAGCTCGCTTATATTCCTGTTCGCGGCCTGTGTCTGCCGCACGTCTAGCGAAACGAGATAAAAATTTGTCGATCATATTTTCGTCTCGTACGGTCGCATCTGTCGTTTTTCTTGCCAGACTTCTATTGTGATCGCGACAATTCGACGCGGGAAGCAACTGCGACCGGAGATTAACACGTCACATCTAGTCGCGATCGATTTTCGTTCTAATTGCTCCCAATAACCGTTGCCGGAAACGCGCGTAACGGGAGAGATTTCACCTTCGTAATGTCGACTGAAACAACTCAGGGAAAGCTCGAGATAGCGTGAGAAAAGTGAGTTACAATCGTGAATGTTATACCGAGGTGAAAACGGTCACGGGCTTTGTACAAGTGGCAATTCAACTTTTTTCTCTTTATCTCTCTCTCTCTCTCTCTCTCGGTCATTTTCAACGACGACGTTGACACTTCAAATGTCGTACATCGATTTAGCGGATTATTCGTTCGACCGTGCAGCTGATAAAATTGTATAAAAGAGAATTAGGTTAAACCTAATTCTTGCTAAATCGCACATTTCAACAGTAGCGTTTCCATCTATTTTCCACATTGCTCTATTACTTACCGCTTACATACGCACGTTTATTTTTCGTCACTATTATTTTATGAAAAGTGATGTATTTAAATCGTCAAGAGCTGCATTGCGGTTTATTGAAACGTAGATGTAACGTTATTCCGACGTGTATACGTTCGTTGATTTATACTGGGAATTATTAAAATCGTTCTATTATGTTAAACCCATCTCTTCTCGCGGATATATATATCTCCCTCCCGAAGGCAAGGCGTTGGGGTAAATAGCACTGTTGCAAACGCCACTTCTCTGGCCCTTGTCATGTATTCCCCCAAAGTAGCGAGGAAGAGAGAGAGAGAGAGAGAAGCAAGGGAGTAGATCTCGACGCGTTGGATAATGCATCCCGGGTCAGAGCTGTCTGTCACGCACAGCCACAAATTCAGACGATGCTTTTCGGATTTTGCCCGGCATTCGTCAGGCTCCTTCTCGCCCACGATGAAAATTGTCCGTATTACACAAGTGAAATCCTAGACATGAAAGCGGTGTGCGGCTGTTATCTTAAACTGCGACCTATTTCAAATGAAAATACGGACAATTCGTATGGTCACACACACATACACGGGCATTGTTCGGAGTATCGTAAATGTTAGATCCAGCCTTTAATTAAGTCTTTGTTCCTATTTGCATAATTAGCAATGAAATTTGTTGAAATTTCTTCTGCACTCTACAAGGCGTCTTTAATAGTTTAAGAAATTGCTGTACGACCTCAGCAAACTGCTCGAGATTTTAATTAAACTTTCCCTGGAAAGCCCTTAAGGCGATGTAAAATGTTAAATTGAACCGAATTCTTTTCCCGATTCTCAAGTAACACTTTCTTTATTTTTAGAAAATGTTCCACTTCTCGTGGAAGCGTGTCAATGAGATCTTAATGAAATTTTTCCTCTGCGATTTTCCTCAGCGGTGAAGTAATTTCTCGGTTTGATTACGCACGTTTTACCAATTGAATTTCAAAGGAACTGAGCGATGACTTTGCAGCGCGAGTTTTCCCCACAAATTACTTCCCTACGAATTTTTTCTTTCGGTAGCATGAGCGACGTGCCAGCACGTAGACGATACTCGCTTCGGTCCTAACTCCTTCCTCCCCACTTTCTCTCTACGTTTCCTTTCCACCTGCTGTGAACCCTCTAAAAGTTCGCCGAGACGAAAGTTCGACGCGGGTAGATTCCAAAGTGCGGATTTGTTTTTCCACATCGGTATTTACTTTTTCACGGTGCGATGCATAGAATGAATGAAAAAGGAGAGCCGCCGAGGGATAGGTCTTCCTCTTCCTTCTCCTCTTCCTTTCTCCTCCTTTTTTCACGTTCCGCGAGCGCATTCCGTCCGACTGCGTATTTCTATTGAAAGGCGATGATGAATGGCTATTGGGATAAAGTTATGCGGCGCGCCGGCGTTAATGTTGCGAAACACACACACACATTTGAAAACTGGGTAAATTCGATTTACGATCGGTGGCGCCCAGCAGCGCATATACCTTTTACGTACGATCGAACGCGGAACCTCAGATTGCCACCGCGATGCTTGCAAAGAGATTTATACGAAAATCGTCGCATTTTCCCCGCATTGATATCGACTGGCTGTTATATCGATCAAAATACCTGGGCCATCATTTCTACATTGAAATGTGAAATTAATGCCTTGATAATCGATACGAAATAATTAATACTAATGGCTGTCACATTGATTTTATTATGTTACGTAATCTGCGTTTATTTCGACTCGTCGACTATGATTCTTACTATATTTTATCCGTCAGTCTCGAATGTGAACGACGATCCTTTCCGAAGAATAAAATCTTCTAATAAAAACAAACGGTACGAGAACAGACGTGACTCCGGTCACCGTCGAACAAAGAAAAGACAATGCAAGAACTCGGTCAGAAAAGAGGAAACTCGTTCTATTTTAACCCTCCGGTCTCTCCTTTTCTATCCTCATAGAAATTCCGTGCCGTTTGCTGGCGCTCGCCATGTTACGGAGAGCCGTAAGCAAAATGCCGCGGTGCTACACAACCATACATAACCGTGGCGAGATAAGGTAGGGTCGAGTCACGGAGAGTAATGCATCTCGTAGACGTAGGGAATGAAAATTTACCCCTCGACTATCCCTTTCGTCTATCGCGACCACGCTTAATTCGACCGTTACGCTAACACGAAACTTTCCTCTTCTGCTTTCAGGGACAAGATCTTCAGGCTAAATCTGAGTAACATCAGTCATTCCAATTGCGAGGTGAGTTATCCAGATTTTTGTACATTCCTATTCCTACCGATTTAACATGCGTCATCTAATGCGTTACATTCACATCGAGTTTACTGTTCATGTGTTCGAAATGATGAATTAAACCTGTAATTAAAGTCGCATTTAGCTTGAAATGTGAAAACGTGATCACCCGCTGTGTTTTAGTATGATGAAGCTTTTAGAAACAACTTTGTAAAACTTTAACAAGGTTTATAACTTTTAATTACATAATACGTTCAATAAAATGTTATAAATTTTGATATATTTAAAGATGAACATTTCAGCTGTATTTAAAATGTGAAGACAGTAGCCTTCATAGTTATATCTTCTGGAATTAAAGAAATTTAAATGGATAGAACGCAGTTTTATAATGCTATCTATAGACCGTAAACCTTCAATTCATTGTGTTTCTTAAATACCGTATAAAGAATTCAATTATCGTAGAAAGAACTTAGACTACCATACTACGCCCTTTTTTCCCCCGCGGCTATCCGCGTATCGATTAGCATCAAATGTCACATAATGTTTGGCCCCCGTTTGAGGGAAGAGGGGATGATAAAACCAGACCCCCCGATCGTAACTGGAAAGTGCATGGGCTCCGCTCGTCCCCATAAAACTGTCAATCACGCATAGTCGAGCGAAATGACACCGACATCATCGGGACAGCTGACGCGTATCTGCCGGCTAAGCGATCCATTGTAGGCAAACGAATCGTACGATGATTTTTCCACGGTCTCCCTCGTCGGTGGGATTCGGTTTAAAAGCTCATATATTCTACTCGCTAAGTGCATTTGCGTATCGTACGAATAACGCCTGAGACATAAACAATTACGAGTACATTTTAATCTTCCGCCGGCAATGTTGACCTTTAAAGGCACAGTACATTTTTTGATTGTGAATTCTGATCGATAAATTTGAATTTTTCTCTTCTCTTTTCTCTCTCTTTTCTTCTGTGAAAAATAAATAAAATATAATTCAATTTTTACGATAATAAATATTCGTTATTGGAACTTTCACAAGTATGTAAGAATTTTTTTTTAATTTTTATACAGTCTGCACTGAAAAAAATACATATAATTTTATATTACCTAAATATAATTGGAAATTTACAATTTCCAGTAAATTTTCAATCATATTTAAGTAATTTTCCGATCATAAACATGTAATTTCCATGTAAAATTACATGCATTTTTTTCAGTATGGAATAATCTACACTGAAGTTTAGAGATTCAGATTGCGGACGAAAGAAATTTTACATTCTCAACAGAGAATTAATTATGAATGCTATTGCAGCCCTAGTAGAAATGTATACAGTTTTCCTACAGGACACCTGTCCAGTTACTATCTAATATTACTGTATTCTCATTAGTTGTGCCAATAC